GGCAGCCAGTCCCCCCCCCCCCCCCCCCCCCATGTACCTCGCGAGGCCGGCCTGACATGCCCGTTTTACGCCTCCTTCCGCCGGCGTTCGAGCGTCGTAGCCAGTCCCGTACAAGTGGATGGAGGCCGCTGGTCACGTCGGCCCCCGCCCGGCCCGCTTGTCCGTGGCCTCACATGGGGGCTGACTGGCTGCGCCTCAAGGGCCTTTCACGGCTGCGTGAGCTGGACCTCCACACAAACCACCTACTGGAAGCGCTGCCGGCAGAGCTGGCGCGCCTCCCCGCCCTGACCAGGCTAAACCTCAGCGACACCATGCTCGCATCCCGGCAGGGCATGCCAGTCTTGGCACGGCTGCGCGAGCTGGACCTGTCCGGGTGCAGCCTGTCGGAGGTGCCCGCGGCGCTTGCGCGCCTCACAGCCCTAACCAGACGGGACCTGGCCCACAACCACAACCTGTCCAGCGGCTGGGAGCGCTTGGCGGGCCTCGCACAGCTGCGGGTGCTGGACCTGCGCGCGTGCGGTCTGGAGGCGCTGCCGGCGGCGCTGGCACGCCTGACGGCCTTGACCAAGCTGAACCTTGCCGACAACCCCATCAACGCCGGCTGGGAACACCTGGCGGGGCTGGCACAGCTGCGTGAGGTGGACCTGGAAGGCAGTGGCAGCGCTGGCTGCGGCGGGCAGCCAAACTCTGGAACAAGACGCTGGAGGAGCGTCCCGGCAGCCTGTTGCAGCAAGCGCTGTTGTCCAGCGTGCAGCTCGCAGATGGCGCCCACCCCCTGGCACAGCAGTCCTGGGCTGCCCAGCTGGCGGCCGGTCTCGCAGCGGTCGGCATGCAGCTGGACCTGCAGCAGCCAGCACCTGTTGACCTCGGCGAGCTGGGGGAAGCTGCGCAGCGCCGCCAGCTGGCGCAGCTCCAGGAGGCGCTGGCGAAGGGCGGCGCCAGCCGGCTGGAGCACTATGTGCACAACGTGGTGGGCGCCCTCAACCTGGCGCCCGCCATGTTTGGGCAGCGCGAGACCTACCTGGATGCAGTACGGCGTCGGCAGGACCGCGAGGCGCTGGCGCAGCTGCGCACCGGGTCGCATTGGGGCGCGGAAGAGACCGGCCGCTGGACGCGGCGCCCCCGAGAGCAGCGAGTCTGCCCCCACTGCCACGACGGCATTGAAGATGCCCCCCACATGCTGCTCACCTGCCCCCTTTA